CTTTTGTTGGACCAAGCCCTTTTGAGGTGTAGCCGGCCCATCCTGAATGCAGCCACCTGCAAAGAGGCACGAGGAAGCACACTGGATGGCAAGCCCTGTCGAAGCAGGGCGCACCAGCATGCATACCAACTAGGCAAACTCAATTGACATGCCGCTTGACTGTTTTGACATCAAAGCCCCCACCCTGTGATCAAAGCTAAGTGCAGTCAGCTGCGTGGTGAACAAACCACACAGCTCCAATTTGCAAGTTCCCCATACGCAACAAATCAACGTTGCTGGGTAAGAAATTCAAAAATTGGATCTAAGTCTGCATGGTCAACCCACATCTTGTTTACTTTGCAACCGGTGTTGACCTTTAGCTTACACTTCCCAGCTCTGCGCTGGAAGTCATGCGCCACTCGCTTCAGGAAGCTCAAGTGCCGTGTTCGGAGCCTTGCGTAAGCCCTTCCAAACCTGAGAGCACAGCGAGTAGCGAAAGGTTACAACACTACTCTAGGAACCTCCACCAAAAAGAAAACATAGAAACTTAATGGCGAAACTTCCATACTATTTGCATGGGAATGAGCTTCTTTGGATAAGCTTGACTTGCTTTCAAGTCAGACCCCCCCTTGATCCGCTTGTTTCCCTCAGAGTCTTCGTACCTCACAATCATCTCTGATTGGTTCTCAGGACGCAGAGAGCGGTCTGCAAAGTCATTCAGCTCCTGAATCTCACGTCTGCCTTGGATACAACAAGCGCCACCTTTGAATTGCATGTGGATTGGCCTCTGCAAAAACTGGAGAATTAGCGCTGAACATCCAAAACTTCATCAAACCCTTTCTCTCTCTCTTTCTATCTCTCCCCCTCTCTCGCCCTCAACGATATAAACAATTGCCACGCTTGGACAAAACACTTGAATAGACCCAGATAGGCTTGCGAGTGTCAGCGCCAAACCAGCTTAAGCTAGTTGAAACACGGTAGCATGTCACCTGCTTCAAGCGAAGAAATTGTTGAAAGAGGACGTGGCCATCCAACAAGCTGTTCACTGGCTGTTCAAGGGACCACATGCACCCCTTTGCTACCGCTATGGCCAGCAAAATGGTAAGCCTTGCAACCATCAGGTTTCCTGCCGCGACTGAAGGAGACGATGTGCAGCCCATGGGATTGTCAGATCGTCTTTGAGTGCTGCCCCGCGACCTTGCCACCGCACAAGAACTAGAAAGGCCTGCTAGCAAGTGCCCTTTTTCTATGGTTTTCGACACCTTCAGATTGAAGAAAAGGGCATTTATATAGAAACCCTCAACTGCCACCCAGTTCAAGCAAGTCACAAAAACACCCACGACGAGCAAACCGGAGCAGACCATAAGGCCCCCCCCGGTCTGAGGGACAGCACTTGGTAGAGCATGTTGCAAAACCCAACGGGTGTCAAAATGTCTTGGCCTCCATCCTTGTCATACGTCAAGTCCATCGGAATAGCATGCCGGGATTCCTCACGCATGGACGGCGCACCACCGGGGATTGGGGGCGATATATCACACTTGCCAAAAATCTACATGTAGCCACAAACACTTGGAAAGTCTTCCATCAAGGGAGGTTGAAAGTATAAGCGGGAATCAAGAATGGAACCCTTCTCCTTCCACTCACCAGAAGTGATAGAGTGCACGCCAGCAAAAAGCTCTAAGTGGTCCAAGGGCTTAAAATTGAGCTGGCTGTTGGCAAACATCAAACTGCAAAGGGCAGCCAGCACCTTCAGGGCTCAGGGTACCCTCCTTTATTCTTTCAGGTTCTGATTGACTCAGGTCCCAAATTTGGGTAAACCAGTTGAAAACACGATCTAAGGATTGGCAGCCTCAGACCATCGGCGCTTTCATGAAGCGGAGGCCGGCAAGCACTGATTGCTTGCGCTTCTGCTTCCAAGTTGTTGGTTTGTCAGCAGCACCATTCTGCTTGAACGGCATACTGGCATTTGCACGCCTAGCCTTCACAGAAACACCTTTCACCATGCTGCCCAACACAGCCTGCGATTGTTTACGATCCAAACCCCAACATGTCTTTTTGGACCCTTTTGACAACATCGTGGGACACTTGACAACAGTTCCCAATTACACCTCTTCAAAGCTAAGAGCTTCACTCGGTCTCAACCATCGATGCTCACGAAGGTCGGCTCACGCCTGACTGCCCGCTTACGACCGCACAGGCAGCGGGAAGATCAAGATCACGATCCACACCTGCAGCGCATTGGTTGCTTGTGGCTGCATGGGCACTTCCTGTGTCTTGGAAGCGGGCGGGATCTTTGCAGGTCGGATAATTTTGCAAAACCATATTTGTTGGAGTGGGGTTACAACGATAGACTCCCATTGAACCTCTTGAGATAGGGTTCGTGTAGAGTGGATTCAATGGATTCTCTCAAGTGACCTTCAGGCTTGTTCTACTCCAAACAACTCTAAATAGATCGACTCACCTGGCCTCCACCGCTGGGTCCGCTGGTCGTCGACGAAAGGGTGTCCTGGGAGAAAGTTGTCCCATCAGTTACATTGGTTTGAAACTTCGAAAAATTTCACCCAGGATATCTTTCAGGGCTTTGATGAGAATTCTTTCACTTTAGTTGTCTTGCACGCTTTGAAACACACATGTTTTGAAGAGGGTTTACTGAGTTTTTGATGTTTTAGGGGCCTTGTCAGTTTCAATCCAGATGTCTTGAGTTGTGGGATCTTTGAGAGTGTGGCCTTCTAAAAGGAAGCAACCAAGGATTGAAGCCTCTTTTATCTACTATCTACTATGTATATATACATGTATTATCATGTTCACCATATTGTCTTTACCATATTTTTCTATCTACTATCTCTACTGTATATCTCTTCGGTTCTGGTCCACGCTAATTACCATGCCATATTATGCTCGACCCCAGTGGAACCAGTCCTCGGGTCTCAACTTTGAAGACTGCGGCCTGGCGAAGAATCTCAGGAAGTCGCGCTTTGAACCCTATGCGCCGCGCGCTTTCTGGATTGAGCGGCTTGCGCTCTGCGCGCTGCTGAGAGGAGTTACTTTTCTGCATTTGCGTTGCGACATCAAACATCCCTGGCTTAGCCAAGCGACAGCAGTGGTGCCATCTACATGTATTGTGTTTTTCCACTTACAAAGCCAATGTCATGCAACCTAGAGTCCCCCTGCTGCTCTAAGCTTGGACAGCCAAGGTTTCTACGGTCATCACTTCTTGCCTTCAAGAAGTGCAATCCCCCTTGTGACATAATAACATGTCAAACCCCTCAAGCACTTCACAGGCGCAGAGGTACAACCCAAGGTCAACTACCTAGAAGCGGGTGACATGGGTGGCCAATTGGCAATTGTCTTCGCCTTCACCCACGATGCCTCACACCCACCGCTTTTGGCCCACGTGATTTGACCAGTTCGGCCACCCTCAGAGTCCGTGTTTTCCTCACCGTTCGCTGGGGCGCCAATGCGCTTGACAACAAAGGCTTTGTTCTTCAGCAGAACCTCGATCGCCTGAAGTGGAGGAGCGATGGGACATGCTGCAATGGGCATGAATCAATATGAATCAATGCTATTGACATGTATTTGAACACCCACTCCAGCCCAAAACAGTGTTGAGGCCAAATGACTGCTCCATTGGCTGCAGTAAGAGTGTACCCATGCAGGCCAAGATGTTTTTTGGTAGTCTGCGGATAGGCTTCCAACGGAACCTGCAAAGCCTTCAAATCATATGTTTTGAACTTATCACCAGCAATGGTGAGTTCCTCAGTCTTTTCCCGTTTCTGCTCTTTGCCATTCTTCGGTTTCTTAGCTTTGGGTTCTGTGGCTTTTGCCCCTTCCCCTGCGCCGTTTGGAGCACCAGCTGTAGATTCCTCGCGGGCTCGCTTGAAGCCCAAAGCCTGAGCCAATAGAGACACACGAATGTCCAGCAAAGCTTATTGAAAAATGACATGAAGGTGCTACGCTAAAGAAAGAAGTGACTTGATTGCTTGAAAGATAGATAGATAGATAGATAGATAGATAAATAGATAAATAGATAGATAGATAGATATAGATAGACAGATAGATAGATAGATAGACGCGCACGCACAAAAACTGTATACAAATTTGCTGGCCAGCCAACTGTCTGCATGCCAACTGGGGATGGCGTCATGTCGCTAGAGAGAAGAGCTTGGACTGACTTCAGGCAAGGCGACGGCGTCTGCAAAACAGGCAGCCTACTCGAAGAACCTGTTCCTTTGTAATCACCCTTCCCTTCAGAGTCCTCGTCAGCAGCCTGGAACAAGGCCCTCTTGACCGGGTTGGAGCCGACCTGACATCGCTTGGAGCAACACTTTTTCCGTGAACCCTTTCAACCCAGCCTCCTCAGCAGGCTTCCGGCACACGATCCCAGCTGCAGCATGCGTCTCAGCGGTGAGATCTGCATTAGCTCTACCGTCCAAGACCTGCCGTAAGCAAAATTTGGTCTGTTATTTGCAGGGTTTATATTTAAAAAAAGTGTATATATATATATAGACATTCAAAGCACGTGCAGGCAATCTGGTAAATGCACCGCGCCTTATTGCAATCACTGGTGCGATTAAGCTCATTGAATCGTTTCAACCAACGAGCAAAGTGCTCTTTGGTGCTCAGCCAACTTGTTGCCCGGATGCCGAATCTGCTGAAGCTCCATTCGCAGTGGTCCATATAGTTCACCATGTGGAAATGCCTCGAACGATGGCAGCGCGCACAACATTTCACAACCCTCGTTCTTCTGTCACATGAACAATCGCACCTTCCACCAAGGCACTTCATGATGTCTGGGTGCTCTTGCGAAAGGTATTGCATCAATCCCAAGCACATCTCGATCAGCTCATTTCTTGGCGGCCCACTGTTTCCACACTCGGGCGACTCAAAGAAGCAGTCATAGCCTCCATGAGAACTGGAAGACTCTTCATCTGCCTCTTCATTTGCCTGATCCCTCTCTGGTGACGGGTGGGTCAAAGGAGGCATCTCCTCGTCATCGTCTGCAAGGCTGGCAACATCGCCTGGACCCGGGAGGGTTGTTGCATCAAGTTCATCGTCGCTCTCAGCAGCCTCAACCATCTTTACATCATCATCTGCAGGGCAAGCAACAGAATCACCCTCCACCTGCTCCTGGGCCGGTGGGAGGTGGCCATCAGAGCTGCCATGGACGCTCTCAGCCTGCTCATCACCATTGTCCGAGCTAGACTCGTCAGCGTGCCCATGCGACTTCGCCTCCAACGCTCGCGCAAATCTTAATTGCAATGAGCAACAATGTGAACTTCCATTCCATAGAGAAACCTTTTCGCTAAGTGTCTGACACTCCTGGTAGGCGAGGCTTTCAGAAAAGTCTTGAGCTCTTGAACTTTGGGATGTTGTCCAGTCTTGCCTGGGAAAATGGAAGATTGCTTGGTATATATTACGTATTGACACGCATTTTTTACGGAGAAAACCATTGACTAACCTTATCTTGCCATGGTGCTGCTGCGCCACAGGTATCTGAGGTAACCCATAAGGGCCTTGATCTTCTTGCCTTCTTCACCGGCGAGGCTTTTTTTGGTTTCTCCCGGATTCTGCGCAATCAGTAGGCGCTCGCAAAAAAGTCGGTCCATGTAGAGTATGACATCAGCTACAAAAAAGGCAGACGGCACCTTGTCGGGGCACTTTCGAACGAATGCCTTGATGAACCAGTAATTTACGATCAAATCTGAGGCAGCAGGGCGAGAAATGGTGTCCTCAAGCTGGACAAGTGGTCCTCCGCGCCACTCCTTGGCAGTGATGACCTGGGTCACCGAAAGCGGCAAAGATGCTTTCAAGTCGACGGCAGTCGCTTTCACATCTGCAGCCGACCATGAAATTTTTCCAGGTCCTCGGGCACAAAAATCAACCGCAACAGCATCACCCTGCACTTGACATGTCTGGTACCGCCCCAACTTCCAAAACTCACCATGAGCAATGCCTAAGTAATGTCTAGCGGCTCACGCTCTTCCAATCTTCAGACTCAAGCGCTGCTTGCAGTGCCATGTCGCTCTAAACAAAGAGGCGTGAAAGAGGCTGAGCGACGAACACACTTGAGGCTGGGCAGAACATGTAGGAAAGACAGCTGG